GGCGTCTCCCGACGCCGCGGAATTCCTCCGATAGTACCAATCGACTCTGTTGCTCCTTTCTGGGTGTCACATCGTCCACTACCCCGTCGCCCGCCTCCTTCTCCATCCACGGCGTCTGCTCCCTTTGCTGGCCTTCAGCTGCTCCTCTTCGGGGCCACCTGCCGCTCTCTTGTTCTGCGGGGGGGTAGAAACTAAACTCTCCCTCCTAAAGGAGGGCTAACTCTCCTTCAGTGCATAGTAGAGAGCTATTCTAACCTAGCGAGAAAGTTAAAAAAATTTTTAAAAAGCCAACTATCCCAGGCTAAGCGAGTCTATTCATTTGAACTGCTGTAAACATGCAGTTCAGGGCCTCGGGAGACTATTTGAGTTGTGGATTGACAATCCCTTTTCCCTTTTGCTTAATCCCTGATTATCACAGGAGCTGCTGCACTGGGCTTAAGGCTCATTTTAGTTCCCATAATGCTCTCTGACTGACATGAAAATGAGTCTGAGGTCAAGAACAAAAGTGCCAGCAGGGCCATTGTCTCGGCCACATTTTGGACTTTATGATGTTACGTCTGTAAGCAAGAAAATGACACAGTTTGGGGTCTTAGAACCATTCAGTGGGGAGGGCCTCAGAGGTCATCTCTCACTTTATGGGTGTCCCTGAAGGAGGTTTTGTAGCTGAGCGCACGCATGGTGCAGTGTTCCCACATCTCAGCGGCTTTGAGGGGGGCGATCTGGTCCCAGGAGGGTCTCCGCCGGGCTGGATGGCCATCCGTACTGGCCACCCTTCGGTCTGACCCACGGCTGCCCTGGGGACACACCCTGTCTCTGACCTCTAGACATAGATGAGTGTGACCTTGACCTCCATGACTGCCGTCCCAGCCAAGAGTGCCACAACCTGCCTGGCTCCTTCCACTGCTCCTGCCCTGATGGCTACAGAAAAGTGGGCTCTGAGTGTGTGGGTAAGTGAGCCGCCAGAAGCCCAGATCCCCCCCTCGCCCCCCCAGCCCCACCCCCGAAACCTCCTGCCCCCTGAACGAGACGACCAAAGGCTGAAGCCCACCCTCACCTCCTTCGCTGCCATCCTTCCACAAAGCCTGACCTCTGACCCCCCAGACATAGATGAATGTCGCTACCGCTACTGCCAGCATCGCTGTGTCAATGTTCCTGGCTCCTTCACCTGCCAGTGTGAGCCTGGCTTCCAGCTCGGGCCCAACAACCGCTCCTGCGTAGGTGAGACCGCCTGTGGGAAGGGGTGGCCGACCAGGGTGGGCAGCAGGAGGGCACCATGGCGTCCCGGAGGCCCGACCTCAGTGGCATCCTAGCCCGTGAACCGCCCACACTGGCATGGAGGAGGCTGGGGCCCTGCTGCTTCTGCTGACCCTGACCCTGCCGTCTGCTGCCCCCAGATGTGAATGAGTGCGAGATGGGGGCACCCTGTGAGCAGCGATGCTTCAACTCCTATGGGACTTTCCTTTGCCGCTGCAACCAAGGCTATGAACTACATCGGGACGGCTTCTCCTGCAACGGTGACTGGCCCCCATCGGGTGACGGCTGTGCCCCAGGCCCTGCCCCCGATGAGACCCTAGCCAGTGACCAGACAGGATATGAGTAATGTTTGACTCTGGGATGTGGACGCAGTGCAGTAGAAGAGCGTCAGGGCTAGGAGGGCCCTTGGAACACAGAACATCAAAACTGGGAGGGACTTTGGAACACTGAATGTCAGAGCTGGAGTGGCCAGGAGGGCCTTTAGAACATGCCAGGAATGGGAGGGTTGGGATGTGAGAACAGGGTGGCATCTTCAAACATAGACCATGAATGTGAGAACCGGAGGGATCTTGGAACGTAGGATGTCAGAGCTGGACCAATCTCAGAGCCCTCGGAGTCCAGGCCTTTTTGTCAATTTAAAAAAAAAAAAAAAGGCAGAATCCTAGTGAAAGGCTGACATTTGTCCAGGGTCTTGCGGTCAGACAGTAGGGGACTGGTCTCCCAGAAGACAGCCTAGCGTTGGGCAGGCCGAGCTGCAGGTTTCACTCCTGCCCAATTCAGCTGAACAAACATGTAGGAAGTGCATGCATCTGCTGGGCTTGCTCTGCCCATGGCCTCCTGGGAGCCCCTCATCTCGTGCCGCCTCCCTCAGCCCCTTGCTGGGTAGGAGTGTGGGCCGCTCCGACGTCAGCCTGGCTCTGTGCGGCCCTCCGAGATCTTGGGGAATGGCAGCTGCCTGTATCTGTCGATCCTGGGCTTTGCTGCCAACTCCCCTGCCGCCTGTACTTGAACTAAGTGAATGATGGAGAGCTCTGGGAGGCCTTGGACTGTCAGGGAGACAGGCACTGCCTTTGGGGCTGCTCTCTTTCTAGGGCTCCACCTGTCGTGGTCCCGTCCCCCCTACCCTGTGCCCCGCAAGTCCCACAGACCCTCACCTGACCTTCCCTGTCCCCCACAGTCTAGCAGTCCTTCACCTGACTTCTCCTGTCCCTCCCTTGTTCCCCCAATCCAGCAGAACCTTTCCTGCCCTCCCCTGCCCTCCCAGTCCAACAGACCCTCACCTGACTTCCTGTCCATCCTCTGCAGACATCGACGAATGCAGACATTCCACTTATCTCTGCCAATATCACTGCTCCAACGAGCCGGGCCGATTCTCCTGCCACTGCCCCCAAGGTTACCAGCTGCTGGGCACCCGCCTCTGCCAAGGTCTGCTGGGCTAGGGGGAGTGGGGACACCTTGGGGGTCCGTACCTGGCTTCGAGGCCACCACTGACCTTTCACCCTTGGCAGACATAGACGAGTGTGAGTCCGGCACCCACCAGTGCTCCGATGGCCAGAGCTGCGTCAACTTCCACGGGGGTTATCGCTGTGTGGAGACCAACCGCTGCTCAGAGCCCTACGTCCAGGTGTCTGACAAGTGAGTCCAGCCCAGGCAGCCCCGGGTGCCTTCCCCACACCCAAGCTTTCCTCAAACTAGCTGAACAGAGACTGTGGACTGAGAGCCGGGAGGTGAGATGGAGAGACAGAGGGACAGAGAGCGTTAAGGGCTTACTTACTCTGTGCTAGGTACTTAAGTGGTGAGAATTCAAATAAAAGGAAGATGATCCCGCCCTCTGAGAGTTTCCATGCTCATGGGATGAGACGGGTGACTGACAGCTCCTGAGCTGTCCCCCTTGGAGCCAGGAAACCCCATGGGGCAGGGAGAGGGAGAGAATGAGGAGGGCCCGAGGGGAGGCGTGGCATGGTGACATGGCTTGTCAGAGCTGAGAAGGGCGGCCGTGCCCCCAGCTCATGGCAGGTCAGGAGACCCCAGGTCTGGCGACTTCTGGTCCCCTAGGATGGGCTGGGGGGAGTGGAACTATCCGTCCCCAGGGGGCAGAAGGTGGGAAGTGGAGCCTGCCCGGCCTGGCCTGACTGCTTGCTCCCTGGTCCTCCAGCCGGTGCCTCTGCCCAGCATCCAATCCTCGGTGCCGGGAGCAGCCGTCCTCCATCGTCCACCGCTACATGAGCATCACCTCAGAGCGCAGCGTCCCTGCCGACGTCTTCCAGATTCAGGCCACCTCTGTTTACCCTGGGGCCTATAATGCCTTCCAGATTCGGGCTGGAAACCCCCAGGGAGACTTCTATATCAGGGTATGGTCCTGGTTGATGGGCAAAGCTGTCTGGGAGCACCAAAGTGGGCACACCAGGGAGGTGGGACTTCCTGCTGCGAGATCACCAGCCTTTCCCTAACTCTATCTGCTGGAGGCCAGATCTCTAAGGCCAAAGATTCCCTGCCTTTTGGTTCTCCCCTCAGAGAACTTAAGGCCCATTCGGTAAACCCACAGACAGAATCCCCGACGCAGAGGGATAGAACACCTCAAACAATCTGAGAACACAAGGCAATTTCTGGCCCAGAATTTGAGCGCAGGGACTTTAGGAGGTTAGACTGTTGTCTGGTGGGTCAGTAGGAGTTGGGCCTTGAAGGATGAGTGGGCTAGTGGTAGGTGAGGAGAAGGAAGGGCCATGAAGGCGGGCCAACCAACGGTCTCGGGAAGGAACCTCAAAAGCTACTGAATCCTACGCGTTCATTTTAGAGATGAGCAAACTGAGGCCCAGAGACATGAAGGAACTTGACCCCCTTCCCCTCTGATAGTGAGTCGTGGGGGCAGGGCTGTTGTAGGAAGAGGAACCCAGGGAGTCTGGACTCTGGCAGAGGGAAGCCGGAGGCCAAGGTGATGGAAGGGCCTTAGAACACCAGAAGTCTGGGATGGGCAGTGGAACCTTAGAACAGAGACTGGGGAACATGAGGCCCTGAGGGTTGGGCTGGGCTGCGGGGCCCTCTGCCCCAAGACTATCGGAGGGGAGGGCTCTGGTTCCCCTTGTGTCTGAGCGCTCTCTCTTCCCTTACAGCAAATCAACAACATTAGCGCAATGCTGGTTCTAGCGAGGCCCGTGACGGGGCCTCGAGAGTACGTGCTCGACTTGGAGATGGTCACGATGAACTCCCTCATGAGCTACCGGGCCAGCTCTGTGCTGAGGCTCACCGTTTTTGTGGGAGCCTATGCCTTCTAGGGGCCTGGGGGAGGGAAGGAGGGGCTTCCCCGTGAAAACATCAGAAGCTGTTCAGGAATAGAGAAAAATCAATAAAAAGAGAAAAATCTGACAGGAGTGATGGGTGTGGGGGCCCCAAGGTGGGGAAAGAAAACCCAGACCCTCTGGGACGTGCCCGGCGCCACACAGAAGCCAGGCCCCCCCATCCCTGGTCCTGGGGTTCTTCCGTTAGCGACGGGCTCGGAAAAACCCAGGTCTGTCCATCGCCGCAGAGGAGCCCCTTCCCCAGCTCAGCCTCAACTTCCTGCCAGAACCCCAGGCCTCACAGGAGGCCTCGCCTGACCCCCTGCAGCCGCCCCCAGGCACTGGGCCTGGTCCAGGTGGACCCCCCGCAGGGAGGAGAAGCATTGGTGCCTCATTGGTATGGGTCTCCAGGGGCCTCCAGGCCCAGGGACGGAGGGCAGCGATCACCCACCCCCAGCGGACTCGACAGCCTGGCGGTCTGAGACTTTTATTAAATTGTCCAATCCCCCCCATCGCCAGGCCTTGCGCCACATCTCCTCCAGGCTGGGCTCAGGACAGTGGTCCAGGGGTACAATAAAGCTGGCACAGGGTCCGGCTCAGGGCTGGGCCCAGGTTCCTGGAAGAGGAGGGGAGAGAGGAGGTGGTGACTGGGGAGGCTGGCCAAGGCCGCCCGCCCCGGCCCCCACCGGCAGACCCTAGCCTGCACCCTCACCTCTGCAAGCGTCCACACTTGATGAAGCTCAGCAGCTTCTCCTGCTCCTGGGGGCTGGCACAGGCATCATAGGCAGCCACGAGGCTGAGCACAAAACGGGAAAGACAGCCTTTGAAAAGCGGGGTGGCAGAGGCACAGCACCCCCCTCCCCCAAGGGCCACCATCTTTCAGTATATACTGGGATCCTCTTCCCACCAAGGCTGGCTTACTAAGGGGAGGGCGGAGAAGTGCTAGGCCCCATCCCTGTGCCCAGGGGCCTCACAGCCTAGTTAGGGAGACTGGCCTCAACCTCTGGGCAACTGTCCGAGCTGCTAGAGCCGAGGCAGAGACCACCAGGGGCCGTGAAACAGGCGGGCAGAGGCAGGGATCAAATCCCACTTCCGACACAAATTGTGTGACTGTGGGAGAGCCCCTTAACCTCTCAGACTTGGTTTCCCCTTCTGTAAAATCTGGATAACTGTGTCAGTACTGCCTGCCTCCCAGGCTCTTCTGCTCCTTTCTCACCAATTCTGTTTTTCTCTCCTTGAGCCTCCCAGAGCTTCCCCTCCCTCCACTCGCAGCTGAGGACCTACCTCTTATTCTATGAAGAAAATCAAACCCATTTCCTGCACACGCCCTCATCTCCCCAGTTCTATCTGAGAACCCCATGCCCTGACCCTCGCCAAACTCCCTCCTCTACTCCAGTCTCCAGAAACGTGGACTTTCACCCCCTCCAGCAGACAGGTCCACCTTCAATCTCCAAACTCCATCTTTCATTTCCCCATGTCCGGCTTCCCCCATCCAGAAAGCCTCTAGCAGACCTCATCACCCAGCTAACTGACCTAAATCTCTCTTCCCTTTCATGGCCAAATCACAGAAAAAGCCATCTACACTGCCTCCACCTCCTCTCTACTCTCTTTTGAAGCCTGGTCTCACCATTCTGCCATCAGGGCTCTCTCCAGTTACTAGTGATCTCTTAATCACCAAATCCAATGGCCTTTTCTCAGTCCTCATCCTTCCTGACCCCTGCGCAGTTTTTGACATGACTGGCCATCCCTGCTCTCTCTCCCACCCTCCTCCTACCTCTGACCACTCTTTCTCGGGCTCTGAGGCTGGATCCTCCTCCATCTTCGCCCCCCCATCTGGCTATGCTGCCCAAGATTCCAGCCTGGGCTCTCCTCTCCTACACTCAGCTCCCACCTGGAGGCAGAACACACCCAGAATCCTCTCAGCTTGGCTCTCCTCTCTCCTGACCCCTCATAGCCATCCCCAAGCTCCCTAGGCATTTAGAACTGAAGTCAGCACGTCCCCCAAAGGCTCCTCTCTTAATTTCCCCCAGTACTGTCCTCAGCTCTTCCCTGTCACTCAGCCCCCAGATTTCTCCTGGCCCAGACCACACTGGGTCCGGGGGTGGGCTCTCAGCATCTCTGACCTGGACCTTCCAGAAGCATCCTCTCTGGGCCCACGTGGAGAGAGCCCCTTGGTGGGCACTCTCCAGTCCCACCAGACAGGCCTCCCTCTCTGCCTCACTGGCTGCTGTTCCCCATGCCTCTTCACCTCTCCCTCCGAGGACGCCTGGCTCTCTTCCCCTCCCAGAAGGGCTAAGGCACGGCTTCGTGGGAGTCTGGCATATAACCACAGAGCTGTATGCTGCCTCCTCCCTTAGAATGTAAGCCCTTTGAGGGCAGGGCTCATTCTGTTCTCTGGGGAGTGCTGGGCACAGAGAAGGGGCTCATCGAACTTCACTGACTGACTGCTATCACTGTAACAACATCTCATGTTACTTCTCCAACTGTCACAGAGGGCTTTTCCCATGACCACCGGATGAGGAAGATAAAAGTCCCCATTTTACCGATGGGTAAACTGAGGCTAGTCACAGAGCTAGGAAGCGGGAACCCCTCAGGGGACACCCCTGGATGGAAAGCTAAAAGGCCCTCTGAGGCCTCCCAGACGGTCAGTGACTGAGGAAACAACGGAGGCTGTTTCTCCAGACTAGACTACATCAGATGAGCCGTGGGCCATCCAGGTGGGAGAGTGCCTCAGTCCGGAAAGGAAGAGGAAGGGGGGTGGCAGCGGGTGGGCGCCGCTGGCCTGCCTACCTAGCCGGGGTGTCATACTTCTCCAGCACGGCCGCGGCCTTCTCCCCACTCACCCCCCGCACCTGCATCAGCTGCCGGGCAAACACCTCTCTCACGGACTGGGCCTGGCAGGGGGGGAAGGCGGGCATCTCAGGAGGAAGTCCCAGAGGCTGGGGGGCCAGGGGGAGGAAGGGTGGGGGTGGGGTGGGGGGAACTGTGACCAGGGAGGGGGGAAGGACACGGGGGGGGGGGGGGGGGGTGACCAGGGGGGGGGGGAGGGGGGCTCACCTTGTTTTTCATGGCCCCTTCATTGAAGTCCCTGAAGGTGAACAGGCAGCAGCATGGGGTCCCGGCCCCAGGGGCTCCCTCATCTCCCCAGGGTCGGCACCGCAGAGTCTGACCCTAACAAAGAAAAAGTGTGGACGGGCCCTTCCAGGCCGTGAGGGCCCCCCACCTGACCAGTGGCGGCCCCTCGTTACCTCATAGAGCTTCTGCAGGGCTCGGGTGAGGAGAGCCAGGTAGGCGGCAGACTCCTTTAGGCCTGCGGTGTGTTTCACAAAGAAGCCATCGATCACCTGAGAAGGGGCAGGGGTCAGAAGTAGGGGAGGTGAGGGGCCCCGGGCCCCCTGCCCACCCCAACCTCACCTGTGTGTTGGTGACGGCCTGCAGCAGGGTACTCTCGGGAAGGCTGAGGTTGTGGGCAGAGGCGTGGTCCTCTACGAGATACACCCGGTGGCTGAGGCCGCAGCGTTTGAGGCGGAACTGGGGAAGTTGGGGCCACAAGTCAAGCCTGGGAGCCTCCCCTGCCCCCCTCCCCACTCCTCTCCGGGTCTCAGGTCTGCAGGGTTTTCCCTGCCATGTCCCATGTGCTCAGCAGAGACGGAGGCCCAGGATGGGAAGTGACCTGCCCAAAAGCCCAAGGCTGAGCCACATCAGAATCAGGATTCAAACCTAGCCAAACGAGAAATGATTCCAGACTGAGAGCTGAATGGGGACAGGGAGTCAGGGCCCGTGGGCGGTCTCAGGCAGCACTGGAAGGCCCAGGGCCCCTCCGTACCTTCTGCTCCCGAAAGCGCCCATCTACGATGCTGCCACACAGATCATCCAGACGCTTCCTCTCCACCACGTAGTCCAGGACGAACTCGCCGGGCCGGGCTGGGGGCAGGGGCTGCGTCGGCTCTGCGGCCACCATCCTCCACCCCGTGCACCCCTCCCCCACCCCTGGGCCCCTGCCCCTGCCTTACTTGGCACCCTCGGCCTGGTCTCCTGAGCCACCCAAACAAAATCCCCAACATGCAGCTTCCGTACGTCGTGAGGGACCCCCAGGCTCTGCAGCTGCCTTAGAATCTCTGGTCGACGGCTGCCCCTGCGGGCACAGACACACCAGCCCTCAGCACACCCTCTCCCCTTGACTCTGAGGACTATGGCATAAGAGCTGGGAGGAGCCTTAGGACAGGGGATGTCAGGGCTGGGAGGGCCCTTAGGACAGGGCATGTCAGAGTTGGGGGGAACCTTGTGACAGGGAACATCAGAGCTGGAGGGGGTGCTTAGGACAGGAAATGTCAGGGCTGGGGAGCCTTAGAACAGGGGATGTCAGGGCTGGGAGGGGCCTTAGGACAGAAGATGTCAGGGCTAGGGGGCCTTAGAACAGGGGATGTCAGAGCTGGGGGGCCTTAGAGCAGGGGGTGCCAGGGCTGGGAGGAATCTTAGGGCTGGATGAAGGAAGCACACTCAGGATGGTTCAGGGACATAGCCAACATTTAGTAAATAATGGAGTCTGTGCCCCCACATGCAAGCCCTTGGCACTCCCTGGCACAGCTTCCCTCCTGCACGTCTCCTTGCCCTCACCCTCCCGTCCCCTGCTCACCCTGCGGTCTCACTGACATCCACACACAAGAGGATCCTGTACTCCCCTGGCCCCAGCTCGAGGGGCGGCTCTGGAGCCTGGGTCCTTGTGCCTCTGTGGGGACACAGGGCACTGTGAAGAGGTGACAAGACCACCACACCCTCCTCCGTGGCTCTGACAGGGGTTGGGGAGGAGTTCCAGGAAAAAGGTGGCTGCCTGGCAGAGGCCAGGGACATGGCCCTGGCCCCGACAAGGGCGGCACTCACAGCTGAACCGCAGCTTCTTGGGGCCCATCTCCTGTGCCCTTTCCAGGGGACTGGGTGAATCTCAGCCGTAGGCTGGCAGGCGGCCCTCCCAGATCTTCGGCTTCTGCCAACTTCTGAGACAGCTCCAGCCCCTCAGAGGTTAGTGAGTACCTGAGGAAGGCAGGAGAGCCAAGGAAGCAAGTGGCCCCTGGTCTGAGCCCCCCTGGGGTTCCAGCACCAGAGGGAGCCCCTGGCGCCCCAGGTCTGAGCCCCCTGGGATTCCAAGCACCAGAGGGAGCCCCTGGCGCCCCAGGTCTGAGCCCCCCTGGGGTTCCAAGGATCAGAGGGAGCCCCTGGTGCCCCAGGTCTGAGCCCCACAGGGGTTCCAAGCACCAGAGGGAGCCCCTGGCGCCCCAGGTCTGAGCCCCACGGGGGTTCCAGCACCAGAGGGAGCCCCAGTCCTCACCTGGCTGGCTGCTGCGTCTTCTGGACAAGGTTTCTGTGAAGGAGGGCCCGCAGGGCTGGCCAGGGCTGGTTGCTGTTGCTGAGGGCCACCTGACCAGACAGGGAGAGCAGGCATGAGAGGCAGAGGCAGACAATATCTTCCCCCACGGTCCAGTGAAAAAGCCCCAGAACTGGAGTCAGAGGACCTGGATGTGAATCCCACTTATAGGGGGCTTTATGAAAGTTGTTTCTACTCTCTCAGGCTCAGTTTACCTCCCTGTAAAACGAGTCAGACTGGACGACATCTAAGGGCCCACACTCCCCTCGTATTCTGTTCCTCAGCAGAAACGCAGGTCAGTCAGGTGGCCCGACTGTGAGGGGATGGCAAGCCTCTCATCTGACCTCCCTGGGACCCCCGCCTCTTACCCTGGGGGCTTCCTGTTCACACCTCATCAGCAGCTCCTCCTTGGTCAGGGAACCTGGGCTCTTGGGATCCTGAAAGGAGGCAGAGGGAGGGTCAGCGTTCTCTGGGGGCAGCCTTGGCCCCGCCCCTGCGCTGTGGATGCCAGGCACCGAGGCTGATCTGCCTGGCCTCATCCAGGCCTGGTCCCTGTTCTCCCCACCCCCCACTCCCATCCCCGCCTCACCAGCTGCTCCCTGTAGAGAATCAGCAGCACAGCCCACGCGGCTGAGCGTCGGGGCGGCCTGTAGCTGCCACGGCCACCAGCCTTGGGCCGGCCTGGGCCCTGCAACCGGCAGAAGAAAGGCATTCCTGAGTCCACTGCTGTCCCCAGCAGCTTCTCGGGCCCCTCTTCCACCCCTCCTCAATTCTCCTGCCTTGCAGCTGGTCAACCTGACTCTCCCATCCCCCCCCAGGCCTTGGAAGCCTTTGCTGGCACTAAGTGGCATTCTCCAAGGCTCTGTCCTGGGCCACCCGCTCTCCATCTTCTCTCCACCCGCTCTCGATGACATCATCAGGGTTCAGTTATCACTATGGTGCAGCCCACACATGGCCTCAATGTCTCTCCTGAGCTCCTATTGTCCCCCATGGGGGCATCCTTATAGGCTGGCCACCTTCTGGGCATCCTTAACTCTTTCCTCTCCGTTGCCTGCATAGATCCCATCAGGGGCCAAGTGCCATCAATCACCATCTGTCTCTGGCACAAAGCCCCGTCTTCACACACACCTGGGGCCCCTGGACGATGGAATCCCGGCCCCCAGCCTCTGCCCACTGCCAACCAGCCTCCATATAACTAGCTGTCAAAGGGATTTCCCTAGGTCTTGGTTTTTTAAAATGTCAGAGCTCGGGGCGCCACAGCAAGCCTCCCATCTCCCTTTCCTGCTTTGTTTCACAAACTCTCTGGTGTCCTTGATATCCCCACATGATAGCCCCTCCCTTCGACCCAGCACTCATTCCTCCCTATCCCTCCTTAGGATCTCAGCTTTCTTCAAAGCTCAGCTTGGGCGGGGGGGCACCTGAAGAAGCAAAGGATTCCTGACCCCCCTTCCCCTCCCCAGCTGTTCTCTCTCTCCTGCCCCATGGTGCTCGCTGCCTCCAGATCACTGCCCTTGGCAGACTTTCAGCTCCTCCTAGGATGGAGTTGGACCCCACTCTCCAGCCTGGAGGCATAATAAGTGCTTAAGAAAAGACTGCTGGGGGGCAGCTAGGTGGCGCAGTGGATAGAGCAACAGCCCTGAAGTCAGGAGGACCCGAGTTCAAATCCGGCCTCAGACCAACCACTTAGCTGTGTGACCTTGGGCAAGTCACTTAACCCCAATTGCCTCACTAAAAAAAAAAAATTAATGCTGAGCCCTTAAGTGGCTGCTCTGAGCTTCCCCTCCTTCTAGAGATGCCCATCTCTCAAACCCAGTGAGCCCACTGGGTTCTCTTCTCACCCACTGAGAAGGGATTGCATCCTCGGGGGGTCTGCTCAACTCTCCCTGTGAGAGCTCAGAGACTGGTGGCTCTCCTGCAGAAAGAATCACAGCATCACAACAGGATTCTCAGAGAACAGGCAATGTCAGAGCTGGGGGAAGGGGCAGCTTAGAACAGGAAGGTCAGAGCTAGGAGGTTCAACACATTTGGATACCCAGGAGGGACAGGCCTGGTGCAGGGTCAGAGTAGCGCATGGCAGAGCGAGGGCTTGGCTTTTCCCCCTGCCCTGTGGTTCCAGGTTCCTAAAGCTCAGTGGAGAGAGCTCTCAAATCTGCAACCCTAATCTGGCTTTGACGCTTCTCAGCAAGGTGGTCCTGGCTAAGTCACTCTTCCTCAGAGCCCTGGCGAGGAAAGTGCAGATGCCAGCTATGCCCGGGGAGCTGGCTCGGAGCTGGGTCCTCTCTACCTCCTGGACGCCATCCCCGAGCCACTGCCTGGCCCCTCTAACAAGGCTCCAAGCCAGCCTGTGCCTCACTCTATCAGCTGGTTGGGAGATGGGATGTTGGAGGGTCATGGGACAGTTGGAAATCAAATCTGTGTCTCAGCCAGAGTCTCCCGATGGGCCGGAGCCCAGGAAATGAGAGCCTGCTGCCGGGCCCTGGGTCACCTCGGCTGGACGCTCGGTGCTGCTCCAGGCGCTGATCCAGCATCCGGCACAGGGCATCCCCGAAGTGTTGCAGGATCTTGGCTTCCTTCCCGCTCCTGAGGGGCAGGGGGTACCGCAGGAGGGAGCGCAGGGCCTAGAAGGATACAGGGGTCAGTGCATGGGCTACCTTCAACTAAGACAGGAAGGAAAGGGGCGGAAAACAGCGCAGTGCGGCCCCAAGGGCTCTGGCCCCCAGACCCAGGGCGTGCCAGCCTCCCCAGACCCAGCCTCCCCAGACCCAGAGCGTACCAGCCTCCCCAGACCCGGGGCGTGCCGGCCTCCCCAGACCCAGCCTCCCCAGACCCGGGGCGTGCCGGCCTCCCCAGACCCGGGGCGTGCCGGCCTCCCCAGACCCGGGGCGTGCCGGCCTCCCCAGACCCGGGGTGTGCCGGCCTCTCCAGACCCAGCCTCCCCAGACCCAGAGCGTACCAGCCTCCCCAGACCCGGGGCGTGCCGGCCTCCCCAGACCCGGGGCGTGCCGGCCTCCCCAGACCCGGGGCGTGCCGGCCTCCCCAGACCCAGCCTCCCCAGACCCGGGGCGTGCCGGCCTCCCCAGACCCTGCCTCCCCAGACCCAGAGCGTGCCAGCCCCGGCCCCCGGCCTCGGGAGGGCCCAGTGACCCTCCCCTCCCCCTCCCAGCGGGAGCCCCCCACCTGCGGGGGGGGAAGACAGCGGGCCCCGCCCCCACCTTCTGGTAGACGAAGCGCGCCCGCTGGCCCCGGCCGGCCGCCTCGTCCCGCCACTCGCGGAGCCAGCGCACGAAGAGCGGGTTGGCGCAGACGGGCAGCGGCCGCTTCCGGCCCAGGCGAGGCGCGGGCGCGGCCATGGTCCGGTCCTAGCCCGGGCCGCTCCGACCCGGGGCGCTCCCGGCGCCAGGGAGGGAGGCGGGGCCTAGCTCCCCTCCCCGCGTCTCACGTGACCCGAGGCTCCGCCCTGGCCCTCGGGCTTCGCGGGGGTCGAGGGTGCAGACGTCACCCCCCAGCCCACGAATGGTGGCTTCTGAACGTGGAGCTTCTCACACAGCTGGCCCCCCCCCAGTATTTGGGCTCTTCCTACCGGGGCACCCGGGAGCCCACGCCCCACCCCTTCCGCATTCGGGCAGTAGGAGAAAGGAAGGGATAAGGAGTGCTGCGTGGGGATGGGGAAAACGGGAACAGCGCCTCCTATGGTCGGGAGGGTGGAAAGAACCGCTCTAACCTTGGATGGTCCTGGGCGCCTGCAGGGAGGATGGGTTCCTCCAGGGGGCGTGCAGAAGGGACTGAACCTGAAGAAGCAGAGGAGGGGACTGGAGCTCCAGAGATAAAGCCTGGAGAATTCACAAAGGGGAGTGGAGCTGGGGAGACATGCAGAGGGGGCTATATCCCTGCTGATGTGCATAGGGGACTGGCTAGAGCCCGGGGGATGTCCAGAGGGGGCTCCATAGTGTCCGGGAAATCCGCAGAG